GAGCAAAAAGGCAATGTTGGAACCTTGAAACTCCTAGAGGAAAACCCCTGAAGATGTAGAAATGGGTAACCTTTTTCTGAATAGAATTCCTATTGCTCACAAAATAATAGAAAAATGGAGTGCATCAAATTAAAAAGCTTATGCACAGCCAGGGAAACAATTCCAGAAACAAAAGGAAACCTACAAAATGGAAGAAAATCTTTGCCAGTTATTCATTGGATGAAGGGATAATATCCAGAATATATAAAGAGCTCCAAAAATTAAACACCAAAAGAACAAACAATCCAATTAATAAATGGAGAAATGAATTGAATAGACAGTTTTCAAAAGAAGAATACAAGTGGCTAATAAATTCATGAAGAAATGTTCAGGGGTAAGGGAGGGAGCAGAGGAGGGGTAAGGGAGGGGGTGGGAGGAAGGGGGAAGAAATGACCCAAGCATTGTATGCACATATGAGTAAAATAAAAATTAAAAAAATAAAATAAAATAAAATTGTCACATTATAAAAAAAAAAGAAAGAAATGTTCAACATCTCTAGCCATGAAGAAAATGTAGATCAAAAGAATACTGAGATTCCCTCTCACTCCAGTCAGAACAGCTATCATCAAGAAAACAACAAATGCTGGCAAGGGTGCAAGAAAAAGGGATCCTTATACACAGGATGGGAATGTAAATTAGTGCAACCACTATGGAAATCAGTATGGAGAATGTAAGTCAACATGCAATACAGATCCCCACACATCTGTGTTTATTGCAACACTACTCACAATAGTATGGAATCAGCCTAGGTGCCCATCAACCCATGAATAGATAAAGAAAATGTAGTATATGTACAGAATGGAGTATTGTTCAGATATAAAGAAGAATGAAATTGTGTCATTTGCAGGAAAATGGACAGAAGTCTAGAGGTCATCATGTTAAGCTAAATAAGCCAGAAAAAGACACGTGTTCATCTACCACATGATGAGGAGAGGATGTTAAAATTGAGTACAAACATACATAATCTTAGTTATATAGACCCAAACCAAAAATAAATGGAAATAACTTTTGAAAACAGTGCTTTGACAGGACACATTCAGTGGGATATAGTCTAACGACAAATGAAACTGCAAAGAAATCCTGAACTTTACCTAGTAGATTTATTGTGAAGACTTTGTGTCTATCTTTAGTGAGTTGCTGTACAATTCCAATACCATTTGATGATGTGGTAGAATTAATATTGTAATATTGATTCAATAGCTATGCTTTTGAAAACCAGGGTTGTCATTTGGGAGAAGGGAGATGAAGAGTGAAAGAATTGTCAACTTTGACTTGGAGGTAGCAAGATGAACATCTGATTAACTAAAAATATTTCCTCAGTGGAGACATGGCTCAAGTGGTAGAGAGTTTGCTTCACAAAGCACAAAGCCTTGAGTTCAAACTCCAGTACTGCCAAAAAGAGAAAAAAACTCCCTAGCTGTGTCCACTGGCAGCCTCTAGAACTAGTAACACCACAGTAGCAATGAACACATTAAAACCCAGGTACTATTTTTACGCCATTATTTATTTAAAGGAAACAAGACCTATTAGAGAAATGGCTGATTCCGGATCTGGGACACAGAAAATCCAAGGTAGTCCTGAAATTTATCATTCACACCCAACACCTGAAGACACTAAACACCACAAGGACTTTAATCCATTCTAATTAACCCTCCAACTTACATGATAATGTCATCTAACAGTTTTGTGTGTGTGTGTGTGTGTGTGTGTGGTACTGAGGTTTGAACTCAGGGCCTTATATTTGCTAGGCAACTGTTCTATCACTTGAGCCACTCTGCCGGCTGTCAGCTAATATTTTAGTTCATATTTTTAACACCACCATTTGCCTATTATTATATCACTTTTCTGGAGTGAGCTTTCTCTTGCTCCTGTCACTACTGAACCTAACTGGCCTAACTGGGAGCCATGGGAGATGCAGAAAGGACAAATGATAGACAAACATGCATAAAGCTGGGGCCAGGTGTGCTGGGCACTGAGATGGAGATGCACAACAGCCTCATTGCTTCTTTTCTCTAATAACTCCTCTTTTGCTTTGCTTCTTTTCTCTATTATTCTCTTTTCTAGTCTTTACGACCTTACTCCTTTACAATTCTTTAAAACCTTGCTTCTAAAGTCTTCTTTTCTATTCTTTAAAGTCCCGTTCCTTAGACTCACTCTGTCTCATGTTTTCTCTTAGCTTTTCTTTAGCATATCTCAAAGTCTTTGTCTAAAAACTGCATTAGCATAACTCTTAAAGTCTCGTTCCTTAGACTTGCATTGTCCCATGTTCTCTTTAGCTTTTCTTTAGCTTAGCTTTTCTTTAGCTTAGCTTTTCTAAGTCCTTATGTATAAAGTTCTCGGTGCAGACTTGTACTGTCCCATGTTCTCTCTTTGGTGTTCTTAAAGTCTCGGCCCTCAGACTTGCAGACAAACAACAGCAGCCACATCATTCAGAGGCAGTCCCTTCTAAGATGCCAACCAATTCTATCAACCCTTCTTTAGCAATTCCCCTTTAGCAATTATCCTTCAGCAATTCTTTTCCCTTCAGCAATCCTCCCTTCACCAATTCATTTTCCCCCTTCGGCAATCTCCCTCCAGCAATTTCCCTTTAGCCAAAAAACCTCTTTAGCAATCCTCCCTCCAGCAATTTCCCTTCAGCCAAAAACCCCCTTCATCCTCCTTCAGCAAGTCTTTTATATCCAGTGGTAAACAAGAAGGTGGAGCAACAGTTCTTTGGGAGGAATGTGACATTGTAACAAGAGAAACCTGCACTCCTACTCCACTCTGAATGTAAACAACTTAGGAAAGCAGCTGAGCTGCATCTTGCCTTCTCATTCTCTTCTGCAGCTGGGGCTGTGCCAAATCTCAGCCTACAGATTATTTGACATAAACATCTTAGAAAAAGCAGCTGCTCTGCATCTACTCTTGCCCTCTTCTGCAACTGGGGCTGTGATGACTCAACCTGCAGAATAATGAGTACAACTGTGCTTATGTCCTCATAGGCTTCTCATACTTCTCTCCCCACACCTTTCCTCCTAGGATTATATTTTCCTTCATCTTGAAGTATAGCCCTTTGCAGTTCCTTTACAGTAGGCCTATTGGTGGTACTAATACCACAATTTTTTTTTTAAATCTGAAAATGTTTCTATTTTCCCTGGCTCTTAAAAAATCATTTTCTTAAGTGCAATTTGAGTAGTTTTAGAAATTTAAGGGAAATTTTTCGCTGCTTTCACTTGAAATTTTTATTTCATCTTTTGGCTGCCATTTTTACTATTGGGAAAGAAGTTGGCTGTCAGTATAATTGCTATTCCTTTGTAGGTCATCTTTCTTTTTTTCTATTTAAATCTGTTTTATTTTAGTATCCTACAGTTTTAGTGCCTTCTACTTCAGCCTCCTGAGTAGCTGGGACCATAGGCAAATGCTACCATGTGTAGCTTGTGGTGTTCATTCTTAATAGTTTCTTTTTTTAATACTCCTGGTCAACTTCTGTTCATTTTTATTACTCTATATTTTATTTCTGTATGCATTTCATTCACAGCTATTTTATCTTCTGGTTGATATTTCTTATCTCTGAAATCCTTGAAGATCTAACTGAATTGTGCTTTTTCTGCTGATTATCACTCAAGGGGTTCATTCCTCATCTGGTCATGGGCTTATATTTTGTGGAAAACTTAGGCCTAAATTGAGAGTGCATTCTTCAGAGTTGAGCTGTTTGTTTCTGGGACCACTTAGACTGTCGGTAGGTCCCCTGGTTAATTTTCTAGTCTCTGGTTCAATTCAGCCCCGGCCTTTGATGAAGCCTTAGTTTGCTGGTTGCTGTGCTGTTGGATTTGCCTTTGGGCAGCTTTGCCATTTACATGTGTTTACTGCTCCTGCTTAGGTATCAGGCACCTTTTAGAAGGGGCTGGGAGTGCTTGGAGCATTGTTGTTTCATATTATGACAATGCGATAAAAAATTATGTGTCTGATGATCTGGTTGATTTTGAAGCAGGAGGGCTTTTCAGGTCATCTAATCTGCCATCCATCCTGTTTTGTTTTCATTTCTTTATCTCTTTTGTTTCTGAAAATCTATTTTTCCTCAGTCTGAAATACCCTGTTTCTCAGGGATATCTACTTCTCTGACTTATCTTTTTCAATCTTTCCCTTCCTCCCCTCCACTTTTCTGCTCCTACTTTTTCACAGACGTGGTTTTTTAGGATCCCAGCCTTCTTTTCTTCTTGCAGTTCATCTCACTCATATCCATGACTTCATCCTCGACAACCCAAACCCAAATTACCTCTGGCAAACCGTAAGTGCCAAGTGCCATGCCCTCAGCCTGGTGCCTAACAGATAATTACCACACCAACATGCCACTGCCTCGTCTCTCCTGTTTCAGATGCATAGGTCCTTCTTGCCAACCCATTTGAACTTTGTAACACAAGTGTGCCTTCCTCACATGACGCTAGACGAATTACTCATTTGTTCACACATTCATTCATCTTGGAATTACCATTGTGCGACCCTGTGCACACGTTCTCTGAATGAATAAATGAAAACAAACTTAGAAGTGCAGCCTAGGAGATAAGATGTACCTCAGGAACTGACCAATACAAGAGCAGTTTTTCCCAGGCATCTTCAAGTAAGGAAAGCACAACTAGGAGGCACACATATGGCCTTTTCTTACCCTGTCCGGTCTAGGAACTAGATTGAACGAATCAAAACTTTGTACAATGAATCAGAGCAAAACCAAAACAAAGCAAGGGGCAAACCAACTTCTCAAAAATAAATGACTGAAAAGGTAATCAAGACTCTCCCAAGCCTCAAATCTAAACCCCAAAAATCTGTAGCTCAGCAACAGCCCCAGGAGTCCCGCCCCTCGCTTACGCTTACGCGACTGGGGCGGAGCTTGCGCGGCTGGGGGCGGGGTTTAGCGTCACTTGATCACGCCCCCATGGGCGGGGCGTGATAGGCGTGCTGCGCGCCGTCGGCGCGCCGCGGCCGTTTCCTAGGAGATGAAACACACAAGACGCCGGAGCTTCACAAGGGGGCGAACAAGGTAAGCCGCCGGCGCCGGCAGGTAATCCCGAGCGGGCTGCGGGGCCGCCACCCAGTGTCCGACCCCGCCCGAGCTGTCCTCCGAGGCCGGCCCGGCATGTCCCCTCGGTGCCCAGTCCTACCAGGGCCACTCCGCCGAGAGACGGGACCCGGACGCCGGTAGGGGCAGGGACGAGGGTCTTGGAGGTGGGAGTGGGTGGGAGCCGTCGGCCTCGGCGGACGGAAGGCGGTCGGTGCTCGCCGACGTCCCTCGACCACGGCGGGCGTCGTCCATCCGCGTGAGAGACCACGACCCCGAACCTGTCCCTGGGGCTCCGCACTCTGCCCCTCCTTCGTCTCTGCAGCCTTGGGGTGGCGGGGAAAGTACTTTTAGAGTTAAGGGGTGGGATGGGGCAGGAGAGAGGGAGGAAGCGGAATGGAGTTCAGAACCAGGTACCAAATGCGAAAAGAGAGAGAAGATATGGGTCCAACTTCGGCCCATGTGCATGTATCCAAGTGACCTGTAGGTGAAAGCGGAGGGGGGCGGAGGGGCCCCGAGAAGACCCCGGCTCCTGGAGCCTCTTAAGTAAAGCCCTGGTTTGTCCTGAAGGATAGGAGTGTGTGTGACACGCTGTCCCTTTGCTGCAGTTAAGGCATTTTAATTTAGGGACAAGTGGACCTGGGTGTTCGAAGCAGTAAAACCAGTCCTCAAGGAAAGAGATTTGTGTCCTTGTGTTTAGATAATCTTTTAAAATAAACAGGCATCGTTCATTTGTTCATAACAAGGAAATTTTTACAGAGGGAACCGAAAGTTATCAGACTTATTTTAATCGGAAAAAAAAGACATTGAGTCAAAACTGTATGGGAACAGAAGTTACTTCCAGCCTTTGGGCAGTGATGGGGGAGGGAGAAATTTTCCTCGAAGGAGGCCTTGAACAGGAGGTTTGATCTCTTCATTGCTGTGCGTTTCTTGATTTGAGTTTTTAAATAGTTGGTGAATGTTAGCACAGAGCATTGTGCTTTTATTTTTTAAGACACTGTCTTTGTTTTCCCATTATAGTAAGCCCTTTGCATTTCTGCAAACATGTCACTTGTTAGTTTAGTTTGAAATCTTTTCTTTTTTTTTTTGGTCTGTTTTGCTTTTTTAACAAGTAGTAATTAATGCCAGACTTGGAGTAACATGAGTGTGTTCTACTAAGACACATCCAATCCTTATTGCTCTGTGATTGGCAGACACAAATTTTACCCTCCATTTGCCCTCCATGCTAATCATCTTTAATCCTATCTAAATCCTTTGTTAGCTGGCTGAAGCTGTGGAGAATAAAGCCAAGTTTACAGTAATTGTGCACTCAGAGAAAAAAAAGAAATTTGGAACTGAGAGGTAACTTATGAGTATGAAGTTCTATCAGACTAAATGCCTTTTTCTTTAAATTGGCATATATTTGTTTAACCCTTAGGAAAGTCAATAAATATTGTAGCTTGATTGTAAAAAATTCTGAGTTCCTGACAGTTCTGTTAAAGTAATTGAGGACTGTAGTTACACTGCATTTACTTGAGTTTTGCTGCATACATATCTCCTATATAGTCATGTACATAATAAACTGTGTTAATACATACCTATTTTGAAGAATGGTCAGCAAAGAATAGATGTAACTTGTAGAGAAGTATCATTGTGTGTGAATTGGAGAGCCATAGGCAGTCCATGTTATTTCTAAGTTTCTTACACTGCTTTTTGATTAAAAGTCAGCTTAGAACCTTACTGTGCTACACTGTAGTTGTTTATGTGCAATCAGGTACATGGGACTATTAACTTTTATTTTTTGATTAGCATACATTGGTAATATGAAGGGGTTTATTGTGATTAGATCTGTACAGTGTACTTTGAACAAGGTCACCCCCTCCATTGTATTTTCAAAAACTGTATGTCTATGTCACTATACTTTAGGCCATTGTTCCTATATTTTCAGGGGCTAGACAGGACAGCTGAAATAATCCGCTTCTCACTCACAAGGGCTATGTTTCTTGTAATTAACATAGATCAAGAGTCCTTTCTAAAGTTTTGTGTGAGAGCATCATATGTGAATTTGTTTTACTTTAAGGCTGGGTAGGGCTTTAACTGGACAGCTCTCACTGGGTCACAGATCTGACCTTTTAAAATCTATGTCATGTCTATAGTCTTCACCACCCTGCCCCTCAAACAGAAAGAAGCTGGGGAATGGCTGTGTTCCTTGTTGATTCTTCCCTAAATGTAAGTAAACCCTCTCCTACAGCCATCCTCCACTGAAATAAAATTTGTCTTTCCAGTGCTTATTTGGAAGGCTGTTGTTTGGCTTAAATGAAGTTTCCAGAATAGCCTCTTCAGAAATAGTTGGGCTTCCAAGCCAGTGCAACAAATCATAGGTGACTGAGTGATCTGTTGTATCAGTAGTTCTATAGGGCTAGAACCCTCCACTTCAAGGTAGTAGTGATGGTGGCGACTGACAGTCTCTGTAGTAGAAGAGAGATGCAACTGATTCTGCTTTGTCGGGTTGTTGGGTTAATTTTGCTGATTGTTTCTGGCCCCCTCCTATCTCTGTGTTCAGTTTCCACCTCTGGAATGACATCCCTGCTCCCAACCATGTTTCCTCTTCCATTCCTTTCTCCTGCAGTATGTTCTTTTTCAGAATTGTCTCTGTGACTTTCTGTCTTTCACATCCTCAGTGTTTGTCCTCCATTAGGCATTAGCATGAAATAATTTGCTTAAAAGAAAAGGTAATGCTACTACATTATGCATTTCTGAATTAAATTATTTTTATGCGGAGATCTCCAGTAGACTCCTTCCTTACCTGCCAAGTTCTAATGTCTCATACTTTCTTTCCCTTGCCTGTTTCTGGAGGTTTTTTTTCACAGCATCTTTCCAAGAGTCTGGATGACCCAGATGTAGCCCTAGGTACTGGCTGTGCATAGTACCATTTGCTCTTGCTGGCTGGCCAGCAGTATGTGGGTGTTTCAGAGAGGGGAGTTTGGTTAGGAATCTAAGGTTGAGTTGTAGGTCTGAGGCTGAGTGGCTTCAGAGCAAAGGGAGTGGTTCCTTTAGCTGCTTCAATGATTATAAAAGCTGGCACAGTTTCATAGGACTGAGTTGTTTGTAAGTTGGAGATTGCATTAAAGCACCAAACAGCTTCAAGCCTAATGCAAGTATTAAACTAACTCCATATTGATCCTCTGATCCGTCAGAGACAGTTAGGCTAATCCTTCTGTGGTTTTATTTTACATTCTTACTGACATGACAAACATGATAGCCTTTTGCACCGATATATTCCCTACATCATTACTAAACCAGAAAGCGTCAGTAAACCTAGAGAATGTACATTGTCTCCAGAGGGACAGGCGGACGTCACCTTAACTAAGAGAGCTGCAAAAGGATGAGTAGCAATCTCTTGCTGATTGTAATCGCAAAATTCTGATTAATTAACTCTAAAGGGTAGTTCTATTGTTAAATCGTATCACACAGTTCAAAGCAGACATTACAAAAGACCCTTCAAAATGATGTTTACTTATACAAATAAAGAGGAATTAAGAAAAACAAACATGTGTTTTGTTTAGGAACCATATAACAAAGGTGCTGCCTTTCCTTATATTTAAGTCAGTGTCTATGTAGAACATAAAGACCTCTTACAAAAACTGGTTTTTTTTTTTTTTTTCAGTCAAAATAGAAAACCATTTGCTGGTATTTGTTAAGACCTTTACTTTAGGATTAAGCTAAGGAAGATGAAAAAAAATCCTAAATAGAAATGGAATCTACTGGTGTGATCTGGCCATGGAGTTAGCATATCCTAAATCATCTTCCATATGCCGTTGAAGGGATTATTATCTATGTGGTAAGAGAGTGTCAGTTTGATACACACTCCTGTTGTTTAAGGCCCCACAGGATTCTTCCAAAGTTCCTGTGAAATTTGTTCCTGAAAAGAGGAAGCAGTGGTTTCAATGTAGTTCTCTGCCCATTCCTGTATCTTTCTAAAAAGCCTGCTTCTAGAAGCTTAGGCACTTTGACAGTACATCCTTGTTGAACCTAAATTCTTGCATATAATAGAAAAATAATTTCTATATTTTATTTCATGGAGATGAAAGTGCTACAGTGAGAAAAAAGATAATATTGGAATGAAATGCTGAATTTATAAAAGGTGTGTTAAACAGTTTCTTTTTCTTTCCTTTTTTTTTTTTTGGCATTACTGGAGTTTGAACTCAAGATTTCATACTTGCTAGGCAGGCGCACCATTGCTGAAGTCATGCCTCTAGGCCAACACTGTGGAGTACATTTTGTTAGTAACCAATCCGCAAGTAATCATGAAATCTTATAATAGAATAAGAGATTTCTAAGAGCAAAGTAAGAATGGAATAGATATGTATTGAAAATCTGTTCCTGGAAATACCGAACTGAAATAGAACAATGGGAGAAAACTATTGACCATTGTGCTGTGGTAGACACTAAGTATGTGCCTGCCTGTGTCCTTCTAATGTATTCAGATCTATAGTCCACAAAACTCTGAAAAATGAAATTTTAAAAATAAAATTTTGAACTGGGGATGTAGCTCAGTAATAGAGCACTTTACCTAGCATGAGCAAGGCCCTGGATTCAATCCCTAACACTAAAAAAAACATATAAATTCATTTGCAACAAAATAGGACCTAAATGGCATGAAGCCATTTAATTCTTCTATTCTACTTAGTATACTTTTTCTACATTGTTCTGCAGGTACATTAAGATGCTACTTGGAGGGGGTATGTAACATTTGGTATACCTACCACATTGCTTTTTCAAAATATGAAGATTTCTTTTTCTCTTTTTTTTTTTTTTGGTGGTACAGGGGTTTGAACTCAGGGCCTTGTGGTTGCCAGTAGGGTCTCAAGTTTATGCCAGTGCTGACCTGAACTGTGATCCTCCTATTCTTCCATCTAACTGGGATGACAGGCACACACCATCATGTCCACAAACTTTTTGCCCAGGCTGGCCTGGAACCGCAATACTCCCAATCTCCACCTCTCAAGTAGCAGGGATTATAG